ACTGCCCCAAATATTCCCCAGAGCACAGCCGAAGGGGGAATATCTGCAACCCCTGTGTGGGACAGGATTGGAGAAGAAAAAAAAAAAAAAATCAAAAATATCTTTGGTCTCTTGGGATCTATAGGTCAATGCGAAACACTTTTATTTCCAGGCTGCAGGCAGCCAGGACACAGCAAGTGGTAGCAGCAGAGTTCGTCAGGAGCTGGGCGCTCATCTACCCACCACCACAGGTGTCTTATATCCCCAGGGAGTGATGGGGTGATCTCAGATAAATGAAGGAGATGCAGGCAGGAATGAAGCTGTGAGGCTCTTCTGGTAGAGAAAATGAGGCTCATTCAAATCAAACAGATAAATTTTGGAAACTTTCTATGTAAAATGGGAGCAAAACAGAAAAAGGAAAACATCAGAATTGTAATTTGATATATGAACTAGTGGAGAGAAAGCTGGGTTACCCTCTGCCTGGATTTTAACCTGCACAACAGGAGCACATCAGCTGCTGGAAGGTGTTACTCCGCACACCTGAGCATCCTTCTGGGGGGAAATAACCCCCCTCCCAAGAGAGGTAGATCTTGAGATTTATTTGTAAAATTATTGCAAACCTCTGGAAATCCTGAACTAAAAGGTACTAAAGGAAACCACCACTAGAAATCATCATTTGACAGACACCAGAAAAATTAAATCACCTTCTACAGGGGCTTGTTTCCCACCCCGATAAGAGAGCAGGCTGGGGAATGACATCCTGATTGCAGGTCTCAGTTAATTGGGTATTAACTAATTAACTACTAATTAAAGAGCCCAGCTCACGCCAGGGTCCTGGTCCCAGTACCTGGTATATTTCAAATACAAATAAATCCAAAGCATGTCATGGGTTGAAACATGTCCATTAAAATAAAATTGAACTAAAAATAGTACCTAGGGGAAAAATAAATGGATTTCTCTCATCTTGCCAGAAATTGCCAGATTTTACTCCTAAAATGCATTCTGCAGCAGCACAGCAGATATCTGTCTTCCTACAAAGAGCAGTGAATTTTGAGAAGTTATTTAAATTTGGGATTAAACCAGAGTAACAAATACTAGGTGGAAAACGCACACAGATGATACTTGACCATGGGCATCAATAACAAAATAGAGTCTGCGGTGCTTTACCTTAACGATGTGCATCTATCCACATCCTCGCTTGCACTGCTAAAACTAAATCAAAATTAGTTGAAAACTAATTTTAAAACTAAATTTAAAATTAGTCCAAACTCAAACTGAACTGAAATTATTGTGCTAAGCAGCTACATAAATTAGCCAAAAACTCATTTTCCCTTTCCCTCCTCCAAACCGTGCATTTATTTAAATTAAAAAAAAAAACAAAACAAAAAAAAAAACTAAGTCACCTTCTGGTTTCCTATTAGAAAAACAAAACCCCGAAGCATGCCTGCAATAAAATAATGTATTATCCTACAGGTGCTAGCCATCCTCGCTTCATCTGCATCCATAGCGTGGTTGCCGTAGAGCTGCTGTCGTGAACCACAGCACACACTCCTCACCTCCATCAGGATGTAACGCAAGCTATAATTATAATAAAAGCTACAGAAAACAAGCTTTTATCCTAACACAGCTCGTTGGGTTGTGTTTTCTTTAATTCCAGCTACAGCAGCAGGTCCCTGGGGTTTCTCCCATCGCAGCAGCTGACGATGCTCAGCAGCTTCGGGGTGACACGGCGGTTGGCTCTGGTGCCCCGGGCGAGGGCTCTGAGGTTGGCAGAGAGAAGAACCCGTCTCCTCTAACGCACTTCTCCGGGCTGGGAAGGACAGAAAAACAACCAGAGTCCTGACCTCAGCTTTCAACTCTGGCTTCCACCTTTCCTGAGGAGGAACCTGCTGCAATTAACCGCTTCCAAGGCGGGTTTGAACTATAAATCCATCCCGGGGGAAATCAAAGGCGAGGGCAAGGCAGCGCAAATGCCACAGAACACTTTTTTTTTCCCCCCTAGGGATAATTGCAATCCCTTTGGTCACTGGTGCCCCTGCGGAATATTTTTCCTCCCACCCCCAGTTAACTTATTCTCTGCCGAGGAAGACTTCAGAGCGCTGCCCACTTTGGACGCCTCCAGAATTTAATGAGGTCACTTGGCCCCTTCCAAGGGACGCTCGACTTGATGGGGGATGCTGAGGAGGGGACTAACGAGGCACACGTGGGACCAGGGCAATGCACAGTGAAAGCACAGCATCCTCGGAGAAAACAGGGACCGGTTTCAGTACAACTCACACTCCTTGCACTGCGAAGGTCAATGGGAATTTTTGACCTGGCAAGGATGTTCACTTGGGTCTTGGACACATATGAGTCTGATTTTAATTAATTATTTGCTATTTTAATTGTCTTTGCCTGACATTTGAATCAGGAGATGTGCTGACTTTGGCCACCCAGATCTCTTTTCCCACGGGAGCGGATTCTTCTCCCTCCTGCCAGCCACCAAGCAATTCTTTTTTTCTTTCATCCACCTGAAAATCCAAGGTCCCTTCCAACCTGAACCAATCGATGATTCTATGAAAATACCCATCCTACCACAACGCTAGCATGGACAAGTCTACCTGACCCTGAAGGGTGCCTGCAAAAATGAAGGATTGAAAGTTGGGCAGTCAAGATGAGGAACAAAGAGCAGGAACAGGATTTTCAAAGGCAGCTGGGGGACATGAACGCCCAGCTTCCACAGCACCTCCAGAGCAGCTGGGTGCCGTTCCTCCTCCAGCTCCGAGATCAGAGCATGTAAAACACCAGGAAACACCTCGAACGCAGGGGCACTGGTTCTGCTCAGATGCTGAAGTGGCTCGATGCTTAGAGAGGCTCATCCAGACCATCCATCAGACGGAGCAGCCTTGTCAGCCAGCTATTGGGTTTGTATTTTGGAGCTTTGCTCTCACACTCGAACACCCAAACCATATCAAACCCCCACGCTTGCACCCGAATGTGTGTCAGACGTTCTGTACAGAACCGAAGCGTGCGGCTCAACGAACTGCTGTTCCACCAACCCTAAGGGACATTGCAAGGCATCGGAGGGGGTTAAAAATCTTATGATATATGAAAGTCTTGTAGTTCCCTTTCTGTTACGCATGCTGCTGTATTCAGCTGTTTGACACCGCACACAATGACGCACAGGGTGGCACTTGCATCCTCCTCCTCCGAAAGGAGCCCCAGGCCATGGTGCAGTCTTCTGCAAATTCCGTTCTCTGTATAGCCCGAACCAGCTCCAATTTTAACTCTAAGCCCCATCGTACAGTCGCTATAACAGAAAATGCAACTCATTAATAAACCAAATTACTTGAATTAAGAGCTTCAAGGTGAGTCCCTTGTGAATTCAGATCTTCTCGATGCTCCGAGGCATCCTGCCAAGCCTGCTGATATTTTAATTACAAATGCCAGCTTAGAGATTTAAAAAAAAAAAACAAAAACAAACTCCAGCAAGTAGATGCTGGATTAAGGAGGGGAAAAAAAAAAAAAAAAAAAAAAAAAAAAAAAAAAAAAAAAAGTCTTCAAAGGACTGATCAGACATCAGGGGCCCTGATTTACAACCACAAATACATTTGCATTGGATGTATTATTACCTAGAGATCACAAAATCCTTCATATTCTCCTAGAGGGTTGACAAAGATTTTTTAAAATACATATTACACATCAGAGTTTGAGAGATGTGTCTCAAAGAAGGGTCTGGGTTGCATTAGTTGTTTCACAGCAAGTGTCAGCGAGCAGCTCTGCTTTACAGCTCCTCCCCTTGCACCGAGTGGCATCAGGAACCGGATAAAATGATTTCACTTGCGTGCTAGCATGCATTTTGGAAGCTGACAATTGTATAAATACAGTTTGTTGACAGATTTTGGATTTCAGGGTTGCAAACTCAGAACTGCAGGTGCGTCAAACCATACTCACAGTGCACGTAAAGAGGTTTCCTTCCCCGAACAAACCTTCTGCAGTCCAGGCAACAGGTAATTCATTAATCGTTTTACAGTGGTGACACGGTGATTAGTGTCCAGTTGAAATACTTCTTGAGAAGTAACAGAAAAGGAAGAAAATGGGTTTGAACTTTAAGTAACAACGTCTCCATATCAAAATCTGCATTTAAATGTCCAGGTGGAGATAAGAAAGCTTGCCCTACCTGCTCAGGAACCTTGCAGTCGTCTCAGCTCGCTGAGGCTGCAGGTGCTCCAGTTCCAAGGAAATAAAAGCAGAGCTTGCTTACCAGAAAGGCAAATGGAATGTAAAATAATAATACACTGACAGAAAGCTGCGTGGATTTCATCAAAGAGGTAAGGATTTATTTAAAAGAAACACAGTTTTTTACAGAAAACAAAATCCTTTTACAATCTTGAGCAACTATTTCACCCAGGTTTTCGTGGTAACACACTCCACCTCTGCAGTACAAACATGTGTGTGCAACAACATCGGTGTCTTGATTCACGTTTCCTGTCGCTGTGTTTCCCGTGCATGATAATCTATACCAAACAATCCAGAATCCTGAACATCTCCCTCTGCTGACAAGATTTTTCAAGCCAAAGAAATATTTTTTCAGCCACTGTGATCAAGCTTTGCAGGAGCAAAGTCTGAACCTGAATGTCCAAAACTTGGGCTTCAACTATGCAGAGTCCAGCAAAGACATCTTGGCTCGGGGAATCAGTCTCTTAGATCAACGTTTGGCACCTTGATGGATTTTTCTTGCAGGAGTAAATCCGATGGTACACAAGTGCAATTACTCACGCAGGCAGCGTTTTAGGAGGAGGACATGCACATTATAAAAATATGGTTGGCTAGCATTTTAGAGAGAAATTAATTTCAAATGCTGATTAGAAAAAAGAAAGCAGTGACCTTTACTTCCTCTGCTACAAGGACAAAGCATGGTTTAAGTGTTAAAAACATATTTATTTGGAAAAGTCTGTAGTGTGCAAACATTTTCATTTCCCAACCTTAGAGCGAAATATTCGTATCCAAATCCTATTCACATCTTTAGCAAAGTAGCTCAGTCACGATGTAAACTGGATCCCGCAGCTCTTTTTCACACATGCTGGGTTGGAGATCTGTAAGTCTGGAGTACTGAACTCAGAGCTATTCCCATGGGTAATGTTGCGCAAACTGAACAAAGCTAAAGAGTGCAGGAGCACTTCTCTGGCTTTTGAGGTTTCGATATTCTGCTCCTGGGATATCTGAAAGCTTATCTGGTTCAGGTTATTCCTTATCAAACTGCAGGTGAGGAGGTTTGTCACAGAACCACACCTGGTCAGGTTTTCTTCAAAAAACTGTTTATAGAGCTCCGCCACTTTTGCTTCCATGTACTTGTTAAGCGCGGAGTTTGAAAGAGGCTCCTCGCAGAGCATGATGCTCCTTTCCCCTGCTTCATCTCCAGGCAGGGACTTCAGACTCGGCTTTTCGGGATGCTCGCACAGCGGGGACTGACCTAGAGGAATGTCTACAGACAGTAGAATAGGGCCATTGGGAAGCTCATCCCACGGGTGGTCCAAAACACAACCCGAATCGCATGGGTGGTCCCCCACATGGTCTCCCCCGATGTGTAAGTCGGGATAGTTTTGATAAATGCTGTTGCATGACCAGGATCTGTACAAATCCACCTGCTCAGGGTTGTGGTCTCTTCTGGGGATGTGTAGAGCTGGCGACACAGTTCCTTTAACAAGACTTTTCTGCTCACTGGCAGGTACGTCTCTTACGGATCTCCGTTGAGGAGCGTTCCTGCGTTCCACTTTGCTACTATCAGCAATCTCATCCTCCTTCTCCTGGCCATCGGCAAAGCCTTTAATTTTGGGGTTGTCTGCAAGTTTCTGCCTCCAGATCCCCTCTTCATCCTTTTTGGATGCATAAGATTTGCGAGGTTTATCTTGATGACAGCTCTCCTTGTATATGAGGCTGGTTAAGATGCCTTCTGCCAACATGATGACAAGTGTGAGGAGCAGCCCAACCACCAGAGTTCATGTGGTCCTGCGGGTCAAAGACAGACAGGCAGAGCACCTCAAACCTATTTGGAAAAAGAGGAATAATAATAAAATAATGAACAATGTACTTTTTATAAAGACTGTGATTTTTCTTCTTCTCTATTTATTTTAGTAAGCAGTAAACTGCATGCTGTTCTATAATTTTAACCTCCATACCATGTCAACAAAATAAATTCTAAAGATCTAGGTAGGGCATTAGCTGGGTTCTTCACCTGTAACATCACCTCTGCTCCTAGGTATCCCTTCTGCATTGTGGCTAGTTCAGATAGATCACGCTCACGAGCTGTAAAAATCAGCAGAATTATTGTCAACATCAATATATGTCAATATCATTACCATCAGTCACAAATCTACCTTTTGCAGTGAAAGACAATTTCTAAGAACTAAAGAGGTGACATAGGAAGGAAATTGAAACCAAATTCAGACTGAGAGGCTGATTCTGAATTGGCCTGAGCCCTCCTGAGAGGTGCTGAGGAGCTTCACAAGATGCTGGTTGTTCTTCAAGTATAAAACCATATTCAAAATGCACTTCAGACAGAAAAGTGTTTTTAGAGTCCCTCTTAGTGATGATTCTAAAAGGTATAAATAGTTAATTTGTCTTCTCCAATAGCGAAGCAATGAGTGGTATGTTTGCGTATCTATGGGCTCTGCTTTTACTAAATGCACATGAATTATTAAAAGTTGGCCCATGTGCCTCAAAATAACCTACTACATCAAGTGATTCCTTATCACTCCTTTTCTATCCACCTGCTGTTAAAATCCAAGCGAATCCTTCCAGTAGAGTTAGAGTCTGACTGCAGAGAACACAGTAAACCCCCCAAAGGACACGACAGGCTGGCACGCTGCTTGAAATACACCAAAAACTCTGCTTCTGTCACAGACAATTAAGGCTCAATACTATTTTTTCACGGTGCTGCCAATTTCCCTCAGTCATAATGCTGCACAAGTCACTAGATAGCTCTCCACACAAACGAAACCTCTGCAAAATTAATACGATATTCGATACATAACCAGAAAGATCCTCCTCGCCCATCTGCTTCCATCAGCACCCAAACCCCACACTCGGGCTTATCTGTTCTGCAGTGAAACTTGAACCACTGGGTCACTTTTTTTTAAATCCCAGTACTCCTTCCAGAAAGCTTTGCTAATTGAGAGATGAGCACTTTCTACTTTCCTCCGAAATTTACACATCGCCACAATACAACCATTTGCTTTTTATCTTTTCTGGGGTTCTTTTTGAGCTGAAATTGCACTGTTCCCCCCCTGAAGCTGAAGGTAGCACTCGAATTGTGGTACGCCGGCAAGCGAGACCAAGCAGACGAGAAAGGTAAGCTGAAGGTAGCACTCGAATTGTGGTACACCGGCAAGTGAGACCAAGCAGACGAGAAAGGCGGCACGCCGTGCCTTCTCCTGCCTCCATCTGCAGAACGGTTGATCCACAGAATCATTCATGTTTGCAAAAAGCAGGACAACATTTTCTTAAGCACTTAAGGGATTTAGAAAACCAAGTGCCATTTTCCAAAGAGACAAGAGTACTTGGCAATCTAAATCTTGCTGAGGAGTCAGTGGAGTTTGGAATGCTGCATCCCTCCCTTGCTTCTGAAAAACAGGACACAGGCACCCAGACCCTTACCTGCTGCAAAAAATTTGCTGTATGGCTTTGAAAATGCTCCTAGTGCGAATGTAGAGCTAAAATAAGGTCATCTTGGCAAAATTGCTCTCTTTCAAAAAAAAGTTAATGGTGCCTGCATTCTGGAACAAAGCATAACGGAGGAAAAAAATTAAAAAGCACAAAAAGCGCAGACTTACCAATCCCTGTCAGGTACAAGAGGCGAATAATCACATAGCCCCGAACTCTCCTACTACAGCTGCTGCCAGAGAATAGATTCTTACGTTCTTTCTTCACTGCTGTTTGGGTGGAAAAACAACCTGACATACACATGATTTAGTTCCCCATGTTTTAAACAGAAGTGATCCCACCAGAAAAGTGTGGGACTTTTGAGTACAAAGTGACAGCAGACCTAAAAGAGGATGTTAAAAAAAAAAGAATTGAGATGTTTTGGACTGTGGTGCAACACTGATGAGCTGCTAAATGCCAAAAGGCATCATTTAAAAACAACAAAGACCATGGAAGGATCAGAGTGCCTGTACTTCGCCCAGCTGTCCAAAACTGAAACCAAATTCCACAAAACATTTCTGTCTCCAGAAGTTCAGTTTTCAAGTTTTGCACCTGACTCATAGAGGCGATGTTATTTACACCACTTCCCCTTTTGAAAATAACAGATAAATTTATAGCCTTGTGACCTGCTCATGGGGAAGAAGCTGACAACTTCATTTCATCAAGATTTTGATGAGATACAATTTGTCTCTAAAGCACAAATACGAGAATCGTGCACTGAACCACCACCAGATCCAGTCAACAGACCGCTTGGAGAGTTTTCTGCTGATACCTTTTCTAAATTTCCTTTTTCTCAGAAGATTAAAAAAAAAAATCAGAAGTTAATCTCATCCAAATACTAGATAAAAGCTCTTAAATAGACACTGCTTAGTGTAATGATAGGAGCGAGACACAAATGTAAAACTAGAGTGCAAAGATAACATTACAGCAACATATTGATTGTAACTTGTCATTCAACAGTTAATCTCATCCAAATACTAGATAAAAGCTCTTAAATAGACACTGCTTAGTGTAATGATAGGAGCGAGACACAAATGTAAAATAAAACTAGAGTGCAAAGATAACATTACAGCAACATATTGATTGTAACCCATCATTCAACATACTTTAGCAGTAAAATAATGTGACTCAGAAATTAATTAATGAAGTAACTATGACCACATAGGTCCAATGGAGTATCTTTAAAATTACTCCTCTTCCCGCCTTATCACCTGTATTTCACAAAAGACTTCAGTTTCTATGGAGTTTAATAAATGCTATTTTTATTCCCACTGAATTGATACAAACTCACTTCACATTTAAAGGCTGTTTAAAATTAACTTTATTTTCAAGCACCTTACACAATAATTTCCGCAGGGTGGTTGTGACTTCAGCAGAGCACTCCTGCCCCGTTCTGGAGGGTACCAGACCTCCCAGGAAACTGGGTGGTTCGAATTCCACGCAGTCTTAAACTTTGCCTCTTTGGCGAAGCTTACAATCAGTGCCAGCCGCAGCAGGACTTTTTCTGCGGCAGTTTCAACAAAACACAAAATTAACAGAGAGGGAGAGGAAGAAATCGAATCAGGCAATCAATCAGTGCCAGCCGCAGCAGGACTTTTTCTGCGGCAGTTTCAACAAAACACAAAATTAACAGAGAGAGGGAGAGGAAGAAATCGAGTCAGGCAATTACTCTTGAGTGATTAGAAGTCACCTTTCATTTCAGTTGTTCCCAGGTATCAAATGCATCAATATTCAAAGACATTAGTAACTGTCAATCAATCTGATCTTACCAAAAGCCCTCTTACGTTTACAAAAATAAAATCAGAAGCTGCAAACAGCCTGCAGCGAGACAGGCACGTCAGAGCCCCGAGGCTGAAGGCAGAATGTCTAGAGGACACTGACCAGAGCATTCACAGATGGAGAAATGAACGATCCAGAACGGCCTGTTACCACACACAGCCACGGTACAGCAGCACGCAAGCACCGGCCCTTCCTCCAGCCCAGGCGGTGTATTTTCTGTCACATAAAGGCGAAATGGAAACCGACCCATTAACTGGTCTGGGGTTTGGCCTGTTTCCGAGCCCAGCTGTGTTTCAAGCCCTCTGTTTTCCCTCCCAACCAGCC